CGCCGGCCCGCAACAGCGCCCCAAGTAGCACGGTATAGCCGAGTAGCACGATGGCCATCAGCTCCCGCAGCAACTGCAGCACGAGGGTGGCGGGCAAGGCCGGCGTCGCCCCGCGCAGGCCGGGCACCTGCGGGCCGCGCGCGGGGGAACCCTGAGCCCCCGCCGGCCTCCGGGAGCCCCTTGCACCGGTCCAGCTCCCTGGGCCCTGGGAAGGGCAGGCAGCGCCCACACCGGGTCCAGTTGGGGACCCTCCTTCCCCCTTCCCACCTGATTTTTAACGCTGCAGCTGGGCAGCGAGGCTTCCTCTTCCCGAAGCCTCTTGCCCTCAATCAGCTGCCTGAGAGGGAGGAGACCCCTGAGGTGCAGACCGGCAGGCGCCCTCTGTAAGCGCCACGCACATGGAGCAGCCTCAGGGCGGCCCCTGGGCCCGGTCGACGCCCCTGCCCCAGTCGTCTCCGCAGGACAGTCGGACGGTCAGGGTGGCCCCGCTGCCCCCGCGCCGGCCCGGGCAGTGCTGCCACCCCCTCAACGAGCCAGCGCCCCCCACCCCGGCCTGGGGAGCAGAGCAGCATCAGGCGGCAGTGGCAACTGGGCGTGGCCCAGAGGCCGAGCACTGTCTCCAGGTGGTGCGAGCACCGGGGGTGCGCACACCCCCACCCACGCAGGCGGGCGAAGGCCCAGCCCTGAGCTGCGGGGCGCACACGGAGTGCGAGCACCGGGGGTGCACACACCCCCACCCACGCAGGCGGGCGAAGGCCCAGCCCTGAGCTGCGGGGCGCACACAAACCGCATCCCGCCAGTCTGCAGACAGAAGCAGGGGGAGGGCCCCAGCCGCCAGGCGCAGGGCCCCAAAGGCCTCAATCGCTCCCGGAGGCAGGGCCAGGGCCAGCCACAGCAGCCCCTGCTGGCCGGGCAGGAAGGAGGGGGCCTTGAAAAGGGGCTGACCCCGCCCTGCCCCAGGGCCCTCACCTGCAACAAGTGTCCCTAATTGGATCAGGACCGCTGGTCATCGCATCCCTGGCACAGCCCGCTGCCAGCCGCAGTGCCAGCAGGCTGCCCGCGAAGCTGGGGGGGAGCCGCTTCCACTGGGGCAGGACAACGGGGCCCAGCCGGCACTCCACCGCTGGGTCGCATGGAATGGGATCAAGGCTGGGTCCCAGTCTCTCTTCCAGGGGCCTCAGGGTGGCCACCCGTCAGCCCATGGCCGCCTCGAGGCCTCACCTGGGCTGTCTTACAGCAATGGGGCATCCGGAGCCAAGGCCGTGGCTTGGGGGTCTCGCGCCGGCTCCCCACAAGGCATCCTCGTTTCCCACCACCAGCGACCTGCGCCTTCAAGGCGTGTCCCCATGTCCAAGCTCCTCAAGGGCCAGACCCAGCCCGCTTGGCGCAGCGTCCTTTCAGCCACAGGCCGAGCCTCAGGTCCCTCCGGGCTGCCACCCCTCCCCCAGCCCTCCTGGAACCTGTCCCCTCCCTGGGGCCCGTCCCCTCTCCTCCGCAGTTCAAGTGTTTGTCACCAAAACTGCAAGTCCACGATGACACAGAGCGGAGCCCACCAGCGCTTCTTCGGCCCATGTCCACCTGCTCCTGTGGGCTGCTGGGTGGCCGGCCAGGCAGGGGGAGCCCGGCCGGCAGCAGCTGCAGCAAGAATGGCCTCAGGCCCGAGAGGCCCCGGTACAGCGGGTGGCCAGGGCTGAGCTGGCTGGCCGAGGCGTGTGGCCTGCGACTCCCCATCGCCCTCCACTCAGTGACGATGAAGCGACGGACGTTCTGAGGTCTTCCACTGGGTGCATTTTAGGCGGTGGGGTCCCATGCGAACGTGGACACGAGACACAGCTCACAGGACAAACGCCCAGCCAAGACGACCCGGCCGGTGTGAACTGAGTTGCGGCCGGGCCAGTGGGCCTCATCCTCCCGGACGCCTGCGGCCGCCACCAAAAAACCTTTCAGCCTTCACACCCCTCCCGGGGGACTGGGGTGCAGGACAGGACGACGCTGGGGACATCACGGGCTGGGCTGGAGCTGCGAGCGGAGACTTACAGCCAACCTCCTCTCCCCACAAGGCCGCGAGCAGAGCTCTGAAAGTCAGACTTCCGCCGCTCACCAGTGACCCCTTTCAGTGTAACCACAGCGCCAGGACTATTCTGGGCGACCGTTGTCTGCGACCGGGTTGGTGACCTGGCCGGGCGCAGCATGGGCCGCCCCGGGCAGGAAACTCCTGGCCCAACAGCAGGCTCAGGACAGACGAGACCCCGCCTGCCCCTGCACCCCGTCAGGACTCCGCTAACAAAAAGCAAACCTCAGGGACCGCAGGGTCAGGGCCCACAGCAGTTTGCCGACATCGCGGACAGGTTTTGCTCACTGCGTAACCACGTGGTTTCACTCACCCTTCGACAGTCACTGACCACTCTGCTAGCCCTGACCTTTCCCGAAAACAAACACTGGCAGCTCTCCGCTCGCCTCAGCCAACCACCAGCTTCTCTCGGAATGTCACCGACAACTCTGCCGGCGCGGCCCCCTCCCCCCGGGACCCCAATCCCGAGCTGACAGCACACCCTCAGTCCTCGAGCGCGGGTAGACTTGCACCCAGCACCGACTCGCGGTCTTCTCGCGCCCGCCCATGCCGCCCCCACCTTGAGGCCCTGCCCGCCTGTTCTGCCCTCCAACAGCCTATGATTGGGGCCGCTCCCCAACAATGCAGAATGTGGGGGGCCCATGTGGACTTGGGGCAGTGGTGGCAGACAAAGGCCCATTCTCAGGCCCAGACCGTCTCCCTTCCACCCTGCTGTGCCCATTCCACCAGAACGCCACTGAAAAATGAGGCAAACACATGGGCGCTTACTGATGGCCACCAGAGGCCACCCTGGCGGGACACTGATCCCAGCCCCCCAAGGAGACTTGGCCAAAGCCGGCGAGGTGCCAGCTTGAGCCTCTCTCGGGGGAGAACGGGAGGGTGGGGAACAAGGCACGCCGCCGCTGCCGCCGGACCTCCCCCGTTCCGCCACAGCCCGGAAGCCCCGGGGGAGCGGCGTGGGGCTGCTGGGCCCCAAGACCACCCATGGGCTGTGCCAGAGTAGGCCGAGCCGCCCGGAGGCACCGCGGCAGGACTGAGATGTGGGCAGGACACAGAGCGCCGTGGTCACACGGAGACGGCCTGGTGACAACGGGGCGATGCCAGGCCCACAACGGGTGAACACCCAAACCTCCCCAGCGGCATCTGGGGTAGTGGAAGTGCTGTTGGCGCTGGCACTGGGAGGCGGTGTCCCGTGACAGCGAAGCCCCGGACAAGCGGGGGACCCGCAGGGATCTGGCGGACCTGAGATGACCAACTTTGCCTGCAGGAAGCGGCTCCTGCTCTGTAGTGCCTGGTGAGCCAAGACCGGGAGGCGGCCGCAGGCTGCGGGCACCCGGCGCCCCACGGCCTTGCCGCTCCGCCTCCGGGCGGGCCCGGCCCTGGCCCTCTGTAGGCGCCCGGTACCTGCTGCACCCCTCAGCCCCACCGGGACCCCGGAGGTCTCTGCCGAAAGCCCTGCCCCAGGATATTGGACACTGGGGCTTTTTGCCCCCACACCAATTCTCTGCCTTTTCCTTCAGGGAATGAGGAAGACAAGGGAGGCCGAGAGAGGACGCAGCGAGGTTTAAGGAGCCGGCCCCGGGGCACACGTCGTCTGGGGTGCCCACCGCGGCGGCAGTGCGGGCAGGTGGCTCGCGGAGTCTGGAAGGCGCTAGAAGGGCTTTTCCATCAGGGACTCCAGCCAGCTGGCCCCGTTCAGCAGCTTGGTGGTGGCGATGACATACTCCGTGCCCCCGTCTTCCAGCTGGGACAGAAAGCGCAGAGCAGCGATTTCGGCAAAGGTGACACCCCCGAGGAAAAAGACCAGCGTGACTCGGTTCTCCCCGGGCTGCCCTGAAGCAAGAAAGGGTCAGCGTCAGGGATTCTCCCCGTGGCGCCTCTGCCCGCCCCTCGGAGGCCGCGCCGGGGCAGCTGACGGTGTCTGGGGACAGAAGCCGAGCGAGTCCTGGCGCCGGCACTTCTGGCACGCGACGCCCCCGGCGCCTGCTGCCTGCCGAGACCCTCGACCAGCGCGGTGGCCCCACAGGCATGCTGCCCGGCTGTGTGTCGGGGCGGCTGCCGCTGCCCACCCGCCCGCGCGCCCGCCCGCCCGCCCAGACCCACGTTTCCTCTGCAGCCCCGCAGGCAGGGGCTGCCGCTCCTCGAAGTGGGGCCCCGGGAGGATGCGCAGAACCTCCTCGATGCTCCGCCAGCCGGGCCGGGCCAGCAGCTGGGCCAGCCGCACGCTGAGCGGGGCATAGCCGCTGTACACGTAGGAGATGTCCGTGGGGCTCTGCGGGAGGAGGGCAGAGGGAAACGCGTACCGCCATCAGGCTGCCCGGGGGCCGGCCCCCAGCAGCCGGCCCCACCCACTGCAGGATGCGAGTGGGGGTGGCCGCCGCCCTCCCTCCCTCCTTGGAGCAGGGAGCAGCTTCCGCAACTGTGCTGCTCCCTGTCCCTGGCCAGGCTGGCAGGGGCGGGGGCCCTCCCTCACTCCCAGGCCCCGAGGGCCGCGCCACGGCTGTTCCCCGGCCGCCGCAGAGGGGCGCAGGGCGCACCTGCTCGTTGACGTCGTCCACCCAGAGGCGCAAGGTCTTGCGGATGGTGGGGTAGCTGTTCCTGCCCCCTGTCTGCGGCCGCAGCAGCCCCGCTTGCTCCAGGTTGTGCAGGGTCAGGATGTGCTCGTAGCCGTACGTCTGCAAGGCGGGCCAGGTCCCGGCTCAGCTCGGGCACAGGGCGGCCGCGCGTACAGAGTGCTCGGGGGCCCGCGGGAGGCTGCAAACGCGCCCCTGGGGTCAGGGCTTGCAGCCCCACCTGGAGCAGGCGCCTGCAAGTGAGTCTGCGACAGGTGCCCGGTGCCACGGACCGCAAGTGGGACCTCACATCCGCCGCCACGCTGCCCCGCGCCACAGCAGGCCCGCCCACAGAGGGCTTCTGTGCCTCACCCAATGTCACGCTGCCGGGACAAACAGAGCCGCCCCCCTGCCCCGCCCGGTGCCAGCGCGCGAACGCCGTGCCGGGCCCCGGAGGCAGGTAGCATCGCTGGTTCTACCTGGGGGCATGGGGCGGCCCCCGCAGAGGCCTTGGACACGCACCTGCAGGATCTCCCTTCTGTAGTGGTCCAGGACCTTGGGCTTGAGCCCGCCATTGCACAGAGACTGCAGGCAGGCCAGTCGCAGCACCTTGGTCAGAGGATGCTTCTGGGCGATGCAGTCCTCAATGTACCCGTTGACCTGGGAGGGGGCAGCACCCTCGCCAGCTGCACCACCCAGAGGGGGCGGCGGGTGCCCACGCCCCACAACCCCCACGGCCCGGCTGCCGAGTGCGCGGCACCGAGTGACAGAGGCCGAGGGCTGCGCGGAGGACACTCTCCGGCCACCTCGGCCCCCGCTACCTGGCGGTGCCCAGCAGCGCCGACGCGGCCTCCACGCGCTGGGCAGCATGAGGCGGGCTGTACAGGCGGCGGTGGAGGGGCCGTGCGACACCCAGGCGGGCTGCAGTCCACCGCGCGGTACCGACCTCATCTCCACGGCCCACACTGCCCGCCGAGGACGGCCGGGGAAGGCGTTGGGAGCGGTCGGCTGCTGCCTGGCCCAAGCGTCCAGCGTCCGGCCGCCCACCTGCCAGCATGGCCTCCCTCACACACCTTCTCAGTGTCCACGCCCGTCATGAACTCCTGCTCCACCGTCAGCTTGTCGAAGAAGTCTTCGGAGGCTGCAATGTGAGGCGCGGAGCCTGGCTCAGACACACACGGGGGTCCCCTGGCTCAGGGTCCGTCTCCACTCTCGCAGCATGGCCGGAAGGACGGCGGGAGGCCCTGTGCTCGGGGCCCCGAAATACGTTGCAACCCAGCCGGCCAACCAACGCCCGGGCTCCTGTGGACACCAGCGCAGGCCTCGGTTCCGAGGCGCCCCAAGCCCGCCCCCCAGCCTGCCACATGGGGAGGAGGGCAGCCGCGGACTCTGGGTGCACGGCCCGGCCTCCGCCCCACGGCTCCGTGCGCCAGCTCGCCTGAGCTGACCCGGCTCTCCACTGGCCGTCTCCACCCACGAAGCACCGTGTCCGGTGGCTCATGAGAACCACCACGTCGCTCCGATGAAAGGGCAAACTGGACAGCCGCACTGGCCCTGCTCTGCCCCGTGAAGACTGACGGGAGAAAGTCTCCGATGCCACGAGCCCCGCGAGCGCTGACACGCTCTGACCGCGAGGGGGCAGTGAGTCAGGCCAAGGACACCCCGCCAGCAGGGCCCAGCTGGGTCAAACCCAGCCCAGAGCCGCCCGCCAACCCCCAGCTGGCCCAGGGCCGCCAGGCTCTCACCAGTCACATCCCTGATGAGCTCGGCGATGGAGGTGTGGTTTGCCAGGGAGCCGCGGGCTGCCTGCATGTGGGGTAACTGGGAGACGAACTGCTTGATCTCCCCAACCGTCTTGGCATTGTGCCTTTCCTGGAACGGGAGCCAGAGCTGCTCAGCGGGGAGAGTCCCCGTGGTCCTCGCCTGATGGGGTCGGGGGCCTCGCCCAGCCCCCAGGCCGGGCCCTCCACCTGCCGCTTCTGGGTTCTCCCTGGCCGCGCCCTGGGCCAGGCCGGAGTTAGAGCCCACAGGCCAGGGGGCCCCTGCCCACCATGGGGGGCGGGGGCGCCCACCTCGAAGGCCGCGGAGATGACCTTCGCCTTCTTGCTGAGCACGGAGCCTACTGCGTTGAAGTTCTTGTCCCGGATCTCGGCATACAGCTCCTCCGCGGAGTTCAGCTGGAGCTTCTTTGCTTCTGTGGGGAGATCCTTACCCCCGTCGCCCTGTTTCTTGGGTGCGAACTTCTCGGGGGGCAACTTCACGTAACCTGTGAGGGGCAGGGGGGGGATGGTCAGCTGGTGCTGCAGCAGGGCCCACGGCAGCCTTAGGGGTGGTGACCTGGAAGGAGCGATTCTGCTGCTATTTATTTTATCCATTCGTGCACACAGGAGCAGGGGCGCAGGCCAGAGGTGCGGGGGTGAGAGGACGCCCCGAGGAGCGGGGAGCAGGACAGGTGGGTCCCTGACACCCACTGCTGCGGGGGCTGCGGGGTCTGCTGCACCCTGAGGCCCTCCCTCGGTGGGGATCGCACCCTCACTGTCACGTGCTGAGACTTAACCCCTGTGCCCCAGGGGGCCTGGCGACACTGAACTGTTAGCACCCTGGTCCCTGCCCCTGGGGCCTGCCAGCCCGGGGCCGTGCCCAGACTCAGGAGTCCTGTCTCTCAGAGCACTCACAGCCCCTCGGCTGTTCAGCTTTCGGGCTGTAGGTGGCGCCAGCGATGCAGGCTGAAGTCAAGCTGGTGGTGGCCCAGCCCAACAGGGCAGCAAAGACAGGGAGCGGGGAGCCCCTGGGCCACTCCCCACTGGGGCTTTCTGCCTCACAGAGGCATGAGTGTGGACCTCGCCAGGGAGGGACCCCAGGGCGCGGGGGACCCCTCTTGACCCGCCCGCAGCCCCTCGGCAGTGCACTTCCCCCATCCGCCTGCTCTGCTCCCCGCTCCGTCTCTGGGGAGGCCTGTCAGCACCCGCAACTCTGGCCTGCGCCCCAGTTCTGTGGGTGTACACACACACATCTTGAGAAATCAGGCTGGCTCTGCTGCTGGCCACCCCAAGAAGCCGCGCAGAGGCCCCAGGCCAGGCCAGCCCAGCACAGGGCTGCCATCAGGGCTGGTCGGTCCTGCCTGGGTCTTCCGCCCCCATTCGTGCAGCCGGAGCGCACAGCAGAGCTGTGAGTTCGCATGAGTCCCGTTTTCTCAGAGATACCCCTTGCCGCCTCACAGCGAGCCCGGCCAGATCCCTGGGTGACCGCGGGCTCCCCGGCACACCCCTGGGGCTTCCCCTGCCCCTGTGCCCCACTCCCGAAGCTGGGCTCTGGGAAGGGAGCGGTGCCCGATGGAGCGTGGTCTCCACCAGCATCTCCGGTGCTGCCGCGCACCAGGGGGCAAGGCCAGAGCTGCCCGTGCCTCCGGGGTCCCTGGGCCACCTGCCGGACAGGCTCATTGCCGCAACAGCTGGCTGCGGCCTCCCGTCAGTCTCGAGGCTCCTTCGCCCCGGGGTGAGACCCGCAAGCAGCTCCAGCCACACCCAGCACGGCCGGGCCCTGCGGCCAGCATTCCTCCCGGAGCAGCCGGCACCGCACCCCGCCGGCCGTAACTCGAGACAGCAAGAGGCCACAGAGCTACAGGAGGTGGCCTGAGGGCCGGGCCCGGCAGAGGGCTCCACGCAGGCTGCAGGTATGGACGCAGTTTGGCTGCCCATCTCAGCGGAGAAGCGGAAACCACAACCATCACACCAGACCACGCGCGCAAGACCTCTGCCCTCCCGCCCTGGCTTGAGACGGCCCCGGCCCCACGGCCGCCCACAGCATTTGGCGCCTGGCGCCAGGGTGTCGCCGCGGCCTGTCAGACCTGAGCCTCACGGCCAGCCGGCGCCCCGCTTACTGTTCTGGATGCCGTAGGTCTCGTCAATGAGCCCCTCATAGGTGAGCTGCGTGGCCAGTGGCGTCAGCAGATCCACGTTGCGATCGAGCAGCAGGAGGTTGTCGAAGACGGGGAACACGGCGCTCTGGCTTCCCGTGGACTCCCTCTTCATCCTGATCATCATATTGGCCACTTGCTGCAGGCAAGGCCGCGGTCAGGAGGGGCCGGTGGCCTCCGCCCCACGCGGGCCTCTTGCTCCAGCGAACAGAGGCGTGAGGGGCACAGCCCTGCCGGCCACCGGCCCCTCGCTCAGGACGCTGCAGACCAGGAAACCAGTAGCCGGCGCGGAGAGGCCGACGCGTCTGGGCCTCCTTCGCGGCCCCAGCGGGTGCCCACGATGCCCCTGGCACAGGTGCGCAGCAGCGGCCGGGAAGGACGGCTGCAGACACCCCTCACCCCGCACAGCCCGGTCCACCGGGCCGCCACACTCACCCTGGCACACTCTCCCTTCCCGAAGATCTGGGGGATCGTCCCGTACAGAGCTTGCAGGGTCATGAGCCCCTTGGCCGCGTGGTAGAGGCTCGTCTGGTCACTGTCCAGGTAGCACTCCTGCGGAAAGAGGGGCGGCATCTGGCCACAGGCAGCCCAGGGCCGCCCGCGGCCCTGAGCCGATGCCACAGGAGACGGCTCACGGGGGCCGGCAGCACGTGGCCACACGTGGACCCCGAGCCACGGCCAGACAAGCGCCTGTCCGTACGGGGGGAGTGGACCCTGGGCGCCAACAGCCCGCTCCTCACAATGTCGGAGTTTAACCGCGTGGCCCAGCAATTCCACTGCGCCCACCCACAGGAAGACACCTGTGAACGTCCACCATACGGGGCATGCGGAGGCCAAGGTGGTCAGCTGCCCCCTCCGGAGAATACACGATGCAGGACGGCACCACAGCGGGCATCTGCTGGCCAGGTGCCGTGATGGGTGAGCCCTGGGACTGCCACACAGAGACCCCTATCCCGTCAGGCCCAGAGATCCCCGGATGGGGTGCCCCAGGCTGCAATGACAGTACCGGGGAGCGAAGCCTTACGTCTGCCGGGGCTGAGGAAACGCGCCCATGGCGGGCGGCGGCAGCAGAGCCGGTGTGTGAGCCCTCAGTGCCGTGGGCGACGAGGCCCCTCCCGGAGGCGCCGCTCAGCGGCCTGAGTCCAGTGCCCGCCGGCCAGGGAGTGACCCAGAGGGCAGCAGCTCCCAGCTGCTCCTGGCTCCCAGCTGCCCCACTCTGAACCCCATGACCACACCCACCTTCTGGCCCACATCCCGGTCCTTGCGCCTGTGAATCCACAAGACTAAAGCCGAAGCCGCCGCCGAAGCTGACTCGGGACGGGCTGGGGGCCACAGGGCCCGGAACACGAAGCGCTGCTCAGAGAAGACGACAGCGAGAGCGCGGCCACCTGGGCCGCGGGCCCCGCGTGCACGGCAGGACACTCACCCTGAAGGCGCCCTCTGACTCCATGGACAGCAGGTCCCCATCGAACGGAACAAGGTCCAGCCCGTACTCCTCCCTGAGCACGAAGGAGCCCAGCACGCCCAGGTCCTTCAGCCGCTGCTCACACAGCAGGCTCCGCCGCGGCACAAACAGGATGTGGAAGTCTCTGGCCGGGCCGCGCCGATCTTCGCTGCAGCGGGGGGACCATGGCCGCTGAGGGGCCCGCCTGCCACGGGTCTTCTTGTGTACCCCGGTGCCCCACCCACAGCAGCACAAGAGGGAGGGTCGGCAGGCGCCCCGCCCCCCGCCAGGAAAGCAGGTGCTGCGCAGCACGCTTGTAGGGCTCCCACAGCCACTGCATGCAGCGGCACTCGGGCTCCCGAGACAGGCGTCTGCCCGTGTCAGGGCAGGGCCTGGGCAGGCCGCTGCGGCTGCCATCCTCCAGGAGGCCGTCGCCCAGCCCTGCTGCCGGGCCCAGGGCAGCGGCCTCCCCAGCAGGCCTCTAAGCTCTCAGGACGGCGACCAACCACTTGAGGGGCAAGCGCGCCAGGGCGCTTCCGCTCCGACTGAGGCTGAGCTAAGGCTCGGGCAGTTCCAGCTGCCGCGGGCGCCCAGCTGGCGGTTATCAGTGTGCGGAAGCCCCAGCAGAGCCTTTTCCTTTCTGCTGCGGGAAAACCAGGCTCGTTTTCACTGACGTAGGGCTGAAGCTGTCACTGTTGGAGGGGATGGGGGGGTCGGCCCCCCAGCTGCAGGAAGACCCCCCCCGCCTCGGCTCCCAGAAGACCCCCGCAGGCTGGGAGACGGAGCTGCACGGGGTTGCCACGTCAAGCCAGGGCCCCGCCCAACCTCCTCGGGCCGACCCCAGGTGATACCTGAGCACGTTTTCGGCAATTATATCCATCAGCTCTAGCCTGGGTCTGACAAAAAAGATGATGTTCTTGACGTCAGCTGGCGGCAAGCGACTCCCTTTAAGCGTGAACATCTTCTCCACCTCATGTTCCTGGGGAAATGCACAGAAAATCAACGAGGCTGCGAAGCTCCTCCGGCCCATGGGTCTCCTTCCAGAGCCAGTCCAGGAACACGGCCCATTTTGGTTGGACGCCGCACGGCAGTGACGGCCCTGCGGGGGTCCCCAGGGCGGGTGTGCCAGGGGCTGTCTTAGGGCACTGCCGCTGCTGCACGACAGCGTGGAAGCGGCTCTGGCGCGCCGTCGTAGTCGGGCTTTTGCTGGCCACGGACAACAGCTGACACTGCCGGGGGCAGGGGTCCCTGCAGTCCTTGGCCCGAGGGGCAGCGGCCGAGCGAGCAGCTCTGCGAGTCCGATACACGCTGACTGCACAATCGCTGCCCAGCGCGGGCGCGACCACTCACCTTCAGCAGCGAATACTGCGCGATCAGGCCGAACGGCCCCGTGAGGCTCTCGTCCCAGACGATGGCCTGCAGGGAGAGACGCTGCACACTGGAGACTCGCTTCAACAGCGGTGGTGAAGCGGCAGCTGTACGTGAGGAACGCACGCCCCAGCTCTGAATTACGGAAACTGCTCGCAGTCCTGCTGTTGGCCACATCCCGGGCGCGTGGCCAGGGGACACCACCCCTGCCCTCCCCGATGGGAGGACACGAGGCTGCTGCGAGCCTCCATGTCCGCCCATGCCGCAGCAGGGACTCCGTGCGGCCCACACGGGCCCCTCCAGTCCAACTCTTCAGTGAAAAGCTCCTCTCCCGCTGCAGCTTCTCCTCGTCCACGGAGGACAGCCTGGGGCCGCACCACGGGGGTGCGGCGGCTCTAGGGCTCACCGACATGGCCCCTGCTGACCTTGAGTCTCTCTTTTTCTAGAAACGCGTAGAGTTAACTGCTGGGAAGCGCCCACTCAGGAGGGGCCACAGCCCGGGCCCACCCGCCGCCAGCCACCCGCCGCTGCCCGCGCGCGGCACCACTCCGCGGCGAGTCACCCAGCATCTGCGGCCGCCGCCCGGCTCCCGGGCCCTGCGTGGCCGGCGGCTCGTACAGCCGCCTCCGGGTTCTGCTCTTCCAGGGCTTCTCCGGCCCCAGCGCGCCCCTCTGTCGCCGGGACCGAGCTGCCGGTTCCTTGAGGGCCTGAAACCCCCGGAAGACGCGAGCGCGCCGCCCCCGCGGAGCGCGGCTGGCGGAGTCGGCGGCG